ACTGATCACATTCGGTCGTGCTTCGGTGGCATGCATGAGCACTCATCAGCTTTTGCTAAATCGATTGAATGATTGCTTGCCGGCTTTCCTGTTGAGATTTTGGTGTAGTATTAAGTCCTGAGATTACTTTCAGGAATCTGACCTTCCTGATAGGTTTGCTTCTAGCTGTTTTTTTTAACACATCCGATTAAGCATCTAAAGTTCTACCCCATATGAGCAGTGCTCTGGTAAAATAGAACAAAATTATTGCAGACCGGAGTCATGAGCGGTAGCTTAAAGGATCTACGTTAAAAGGTACCCAGATAAAATCACATCACATGCGGTTTCGCTGTTTAGTGCATTACTCTGCATTCAGACTGACTTTCAGAACTGTACTGAATCAATCAATAACACTGACTGGATCGCCCCACCCCCCACCTTGTTCAAAGTTTGTGTCTAGCTGTTTTTTTCCGAAAACATCCGATTAGGCATCTGAAGTTCTACCCCACATGAGCAGTGCTCTGGTGAAATAGAACAAAAATATTCCAGGTCGGAATCATCAGCGGTGGCTGATCAGATCTACGTCAAAAGGTACCCAGATAAAATCCCATCACATGCGGTCTCGCTGTTTAGCGCATTACTGTACATACCAGCTGACTTTCAAAACTGCCCTGAATCAATCAATAACACCAACTGGATCGCCCCACCCCCCACCTTGTTCGGTGGTTAGTGATCTTAATCCAACCAGTGAGATTCTAGTCTTTTATCTCCTAGCTGCGTGAAGGTTTCGATTCATTGAAGTGTAATTAAGAAATTGATGCAGAAAACTATTAGCTTAATTTACTTAAATATCTCTAATATCTCCACTGCGGTGTTCGAAATCGTTCGTAGCGCTCCAAAATAGAATACTCTAACAACAGAACCTCACCTGAGCTACGTGTAAATTGCTACGGCATTCCCAATTTTATTAAAGTGTCCAAATATAGTCACCGAGGAAACACGGTAACCGAACAACTTGAGCAGTGGTTACATCGTATAGACTACCAAAAAGGATGTGAGTTTTTTATCTTCAGAACCTCTCCCACACTCGTGGTCAAGGGGTTAACATAGCTACTTACCCTATACTGACACCACAGTTGTTGACCTGACTTGATTTACCCCGGTAGCCAAGCATAGTTTATCTAGCCTCAGTTTCACTGCACTCCACTAGAGGATGTTTCCAAAGTCTTTGGAAATTTCGACCTAATAACGAGACACGTTCCATCTTCGAACCTAACAGCGTACCGGGGCATAGTTTCATCGTGCCGATAACCAGGAGCGTCCTCATTGTTTTACACAAAATTACAAGGCAGATATTTAGCTCTGATACAAATCGATGTGTAAGAGATATTGCGTATGCCCAATTCGACCCTTTTTAAGCAGTCTCATGTGTGTTCCAAGTAATGCTTTTTTATATGGGCCTAGCAGATAGGTCGTGATATCAAGCTGGCAAAGATTTGTCATCAATTTCAACACAATGTGTGGAATATTATCGAAGTCTATCTATCGGAAACATCGAGCTGTTGAGCTTTGAAACTGTGTGCTCGTTAGAACAACATTCGATGCACTATTCGGTGTATCATAGATACCTTGTCCAGGCAGGGGAAATATGCTCAAAATCGCTATTAAAATACAACAACTTGGTCGTAAAATTATCTTATTTCAATTATTACAACTGCAATTCAGACTGAACATTGAGTGATGTGTACCTGTCCGCTATATTGAAAAGCGACTTGTGGATAATACCTGAACTGAAGACGATTTTCTCCTTCGCTAGCCGGGGAAAAACAAAATTAATTTCGTAAATCGGTAGTTTTTGAGTTTAACTAAGCTTCACTGGTGATTTGCCTTCGGAACAACTGATAGTTGCGTCCAAGCCATCACCCACTTGCGAGCCAATATTTTAGGTTTCCATACATATTAACCACAAAGAAGCACGATGGTTTTCTTGAATATATTGCCGTCAAAGTTCACAGGGAAGACCCGAGTCCTGGATCACGTCCTTCAGAACATTCAGTGAAAAGCTATCGAACTTGGATGGCTATTCTGGACTAACATATCAGTAGCCTGACTGACAAGCAGTGTGATCATCAGCAATGTTATCCGGACGTATGTCCCAGATGGATTGTATGGATGGATGATGGATGATAGTTTGCACGGATCAATGCCCACCTGATAATTTTGTGACGGGCGTGACGATCCTGTTTATGACCCACATATGAACATTTTTAATCCACTCCGAGATTTCACAAAACTGACTGAAATCCGTAACCTTTAGACCAATAGTCCTGAACACGGCAGATTACGTCCTAGAATGGGCAGCTAGATACGTGCGGAAGAACTACCGGCATTGCTCACAAGTTTTAGTTTTAGTTTACTAAACAGGTCGATCTTGCAAGTTGAGGACCACTCGCCCCATGTAGCCGCATTGACACTGAGTGGAAGGATACCCAAGACAATATTTTAGCGAAATAAACTCATTTACAAACTAGTTTGGTTTTGCGAGAGACTCACCTGGAACTCAGCTGAATCTCTCGTTTGTGATGTTTCCAGGCAACTTAATGTGCTATACCAGGCTGCCTCATGTTTCAATCACTCGAGACATCGCGATACATGTATATTTGTAATGCACTACTCGTAAGGTTGCTGAAAATTCGTAGACAGCCCACGATCGGTTTTGCCCATGCCTAGAAACATCATAAACGAGAGATTCAGCTGGGTTTCAGGTGAGTCTCTCGAAAAATCAAATTAGTTTGCAAATGAGTGTAGTTCGCTAATTTCGCGCAATTTGGCTCAAAGTAGAACATAAGGTTGACGAAAACCCGGGGATCGCGCCTACCTGATGAAAGGCGGAACCGGTCGTGGGCTGTTGATGAGTTTCCAGTGCATAACAAATACGTGTAATATTTTCTTCACAATATCTATACTTCTTTCCAAAATCAAGTTTTTCAACTAGGGACGTACATAATGTTCACAGGCCTCCACAATCCGGTACCGTCCTAAACAAAGAAGGTGGAATTTCAGTTGAAAAGTGGTTCATTGATGGAGGGATGCTAAAACAGCCTCGTTGTTTTTGGTTTGGATTTTCGCTAAAAATTTTACTTTGAATGGTCGGCGGTTCAGTCGTTGATCTGGGCAGTTTGATTGCAAACGTTCCATCACCGATTGCGGTGGCATCATCAGGGAGTTAAGGAGCGTACCGATGGGTTGGTGGCTGTGTGCTGAGTAGTGTTGTGTGTGCGTACGTGTGTGTGTGTTGATATGCTACGTGACCGTCGGGACTGACCTTCGAACACGATTATTCGGTCTGTTCAGCGGTTGCTCCGTTATCCTGTGTCCTGATTGATCGATGACTACGTGACCCATGTGCCTGGCCTCTCCTTTCCTCGTGCTCTGATCGGTGCTGGAGTGACCTTCATCGTTGGACCATCTGGGTTCAGGTTGTGATCTTTGTTGGTCCGATTCCAAGGATTTTTTAATTCTTGGTTTGTGAATTCGATATTTGGCTCCCTTCAGTATTCTGGTGAAATAGTTGGTCCTTTGCATGTAGTGGTACTGGGTCCACTTCAAATGCTTGGGTAATCGAATCGGCCGTGGATTACCATGCTTCCAGAAATTCTCTGCTATGTCTCGTGTCTCCGTAAGCCTAAATTTCCATGTTTTCCAGATTGAATTTACGGCCTTCTTGGACTTCATATATATATATATTAAGGATGGGGTGTCATGTCTTCTGACGGCCGTGTTGTGTGTATAATTTCCTCCCAGTTTGTCCAGCGTGGAATTTGTTGCAATTGTTGTAGTCCATTTGGTACATCACATTGTTTCTCTTGGTTTTGTCTCGGTTTTCATCGGTCTTGAGGTTAGTTTCCTTAGAGTGACATTCGGTTTGTGGACTACGATCATTCTTTTCGAGCCGATAATCTGGTTGCGTGTTCTAATATATTCTTGATGGTAGCGGCTTGTTATTATTATTATTATTCAAGCTCCTCTTGATAAAATTTCTTGGATACCCATTGTTCTGAAACACTTTGAGTAGATAGTTTTCTTGCTTTTTCCCTAATTCTGTGGTGCTGCAGGGTGTCTCAGCCCTCTTGAACAAGGTTTGGACGTAGCTCTTCTTGTGGCTCACTGGATGATTGCTGTCCTAGTTCGGTATTTGATCCGTATGAGCCTCCTCCCGGTATACGTAGGTTTTTCTGAGTCCCATCCAACTTCCTGTTCACTAAAACGTCCAAGAGTAGTGGTCGATTGTTCCTCTCCGGTTTGATTATAAACTTGAAATCTTCAAACGTGGTATTGTGCAGTTCGTGCGTTCTGTGTAATTTATATCGTTTCATGATGACAAAAGTGTCGCCTGCGTAGCTGATCCACAGCTTTGGATTGATGAGTTATAGCACTGATAGCGCTCACAATCTTTACACCACCGCCTCAGTGATAACTACTGATATTGAGGATCCCGTTGGAGTCTGCTTCAGCTGTTGATATATTTGTCTATCAAAGCAAAAGTATGTATGCATGCAAAAGTCCAACAGTTTGCATATACTTTCAGGTTTCATTTGGATTGTTTGGATTATTTCGAAGTGGCTCTGCTATAAAACAGTTCTCTGGGAGGCTGTGGTTGATTGAAGTGAACGGTGACGTAATATCAAAGGAAAGCATAGTTTCGTCGTCTTCCATACTGACGTTCCGTAGCTTGCGTAGAAAATGACCATCGTTGTTGATTGTGTATCCCGATGCAGAATTGAATCGTTTCAATTTTCTCGAAGAGTCTTCTGCTAATTTGTAAGATGGAGTTCCGGGAAGTGAAACGATTGGTCGAAGTGCACCTTTGGTAGTCCGTTGAATTGTGCAATATTGGTGTCATCGGCTTTCATTTTTTATCGTTCTTGGCTGGTCATTTCGGATGTTGCTTTCAACTTCTTGAAGGTCGTTCATGAATAATTCTCTGGATTTTTCAGACATGGAACACTATTTAAAATTTCTTGAGGAACCCCTAGACGTCTATTTTCTCGAGCCGTCTACATTTTGTCGACCAGAAAACCGACTCACATAAATGATGTGCAAGGGTACCTTAACCTTCTTGTTAGCCGCGCTGCACTGTGACGAGTTCTGAGTTGAGAACTATATAGGCATTTAGGGGAGGTGCTGAATGGTGAAGTCAGTGGACTCGTTCTAGCCCATCGAAACTGTCTCAGATGAAATCGATAAATTTATTCAAGAGATCCTGCATGTGGCTAAATGAACACGGGATTAATATCACAATATCAGGAGCGCCTATTGTGTTGCGACTTCCTTCGAAAGTATTCTGTTCCCCGGTGGACGGTGAGGTTAATAAATGTGAGGTATGGTCTAGTTTGATAAGCCAGTGTCACATAAACGTATAACTAAGGCATATTGCTGTGCACTCTGGTTTCGCATTTTGCGGTTATGTATAGAGGATCGGCAGAAGTGAGGTACTTTGCAAACGTTCCATCACCAATCGAAGTGACCTCATCAATGCGTGATTAGTGAGCTTAGTAGTGCGTAGCGGTGGGTTGGTGGTTGTGCGTTGGGTAGTGTTGCGCGTGAGTTAATATACGCGCTGCTAGCAGGAAATGACCTTTGATCATGATTAGTTGTTTGGTCCACCGATTCCATTGGTTGCCGCATTGCCCGGTGTCCCCATTCGCCGATGCCTAGGTGACCTTTGAGCGTGGCATCCCCTGCCATCGTAATCTGGTCGATGCTGGAGTGACTTTTGTCCTCTCGAGTACCGGCTTGTGACCTTTATTGATTTGCCTCCTAGGAATTCCTTGTTTCTTTGTTTTTGAATCCAATATTCGGTCCTGCTTGAGTTTTCCGGTTGAGATGTTGGTCTTTTGCACGTTGGGTGCGTAAATTGGGTCCAGTTCAATGTACCGGTTGATCGAATCTACCGTGGAGTACCATGCTTCCAGAAATTTTCTTCCGTGTCTCGTGCCTCCGTATGCCAAAATTTTCGCGTTTTCCAAATTGAATTTGTGGTCTTCTTGGTCCTCGTTTATGGATATCAAGGACAAGGGGTTATGCTTCGTGACGGCCGCGATGTGTTCCCTTATTCGTGCACATATTCTTCTCCCAGTTTGTCTGACGTAGAATTTGTTGCAGTTGTTGCAGTTGAGTTGGTATAACACACTGTTCTTCTTGGTTTCGTCCGGGTTGTCCTTCGGTCTAGAGGCTAATTTCCTCAGGGTGGCATTCGTTTTGTGGGCCACGAAGATTCATTTTTGAGCCAATAATCTGGTTGCGAGTTCTGATATATTCTTGATGTAAGGTGGGAATACCCGTCCGGTGGCTTGTTCTTGCTGTTGCCGTTGTTGAAACGTCTTCTTCTCCAATATTCTCTTGATAAAATTCCTTGGGTATCCATGGTTCCGGAATACTCTGAACAGATGTTTTTCTTCCTTCTTCCGCAGTTCTGTGGTGCTGCAGTGTCTCAGCCCTCTTGAACAAGGTTTGGACGTAGCTCTTCTTGTGGCTCACTGGATGATTGCTGTCGTAGTTCGGTATTTGATCCGTATGAGCCTCCTCCCGGTATACGTAGGTTTTTCTGAGTCCCATCCAACTTCCTGTTCACTAAAACGTCCAAGAGTAGTGGTCGATTGTTCCTCTCCGGTTTGATTATAAACTTGAAATCTTCAAACGTGGTATTGTGCAGTTCATGCGTTCTGTGTAATTTATATCGTTTCATGATGACAAAAGTGTCGCCTGCGTAGCGGATCCACAGCTTTGGATTGATGAGTTATAGCACTGATAGCGCTCACAATCTTTACACCACCGCCTCAGTGATAACTACTGATATTGAGGATCCCGTTGGAGTCTGCTTCAGCTGTTGATATATTTGTCTATCAAAGCAAAAGTATGTATGCATGCAAAAGTCCAACAGTTTGCATATACTTTCAGGTTTCATTTGGATTGTTTGGATTATTTCGAAGTGGCTCTGCTATAAAACAGTTCTCTGGGAGGCTGTGGTTGATTGAAGTGAACGGTGACGTAATATCAAAGGAAAGCATAGTTTCGTCGTCTTCCATACTGACGTTCCGTAGCTTGCGTAGAAAATGACCATCGTTGTTGATTGTGTATCCCGATGCAGAATTGAATCGTTTCAATTTTCTCGAAGAGTCTTTTGCTAATTTGTAAGATGGAGTTCCGGGAAGTGAAACGATTGGTCGAAGTGCACCTTTGGTAGTCCGTTGAATTGTGCAATATTGGTGTCATCGGCTTGCATTTTTCATCGTTCTTGGCTGGTCATCTCGTATGTTGCTTGCAACTGCTTGAGCGTCGTGTTGATTCGATTGATGAAGTTTGAAGATGGGTCATGATTGATTGACCTGTAGGTCGTCGTGTCACTTAGCAGTTGTTTAGCCTTTTCACTGCAACATGGCTTGTCCATTATCACCGTGATGCGTCCTTTGTCTGCCGGTAGTATTATAGTTCTTTCATCCTCTTTTCGATTTCAGAGTGCGTCTTGTTTTTGTTTGGATAGCAGTTACATATTTCTGTTCCGTGTGATTGCTGGCACGATTGTCTGTCGGATCTTTTTGTTGAACCCCCTCAGATATTTCGTTTGTTTTCAGGGTGTCCTAAGCTGGCTAGGTAATATTTGTGGGATTCGTTCTCGAAGTTGAAGTTGAGCCCCGTCATTAGAAGTGCTTGTTCAGCTGTGCTGAGTTGACGACTAAATACGTTTTTGATGCAAACGTCGTCATAATTTCTCGTGAGTTTGCGCAATTTCGTTCTCAAGGCCTTTCTGCTTTTTTCAGGTCATGCCATAACTGAATCTCGGTGGTTCAATGGACGAAGGCCTTCAAGAAAGAAATATTGTGTGAACAGTAATCAGGAGGCGTTAAACTGTCAGATGAATGGACCGGTCTATCACGGGATTGACTACCACTGCCCGATTTCGAAACATGACGTACAACAATTAACCAGGCACACCAATCACATCGCTCAGATGTGAACACGTTCGCCTGTTCAGATGTGACGATTCAGATGCGTCCAACGTGCGTTGGTGGAGTAGTGGTTACACGCTCGCCTCGCATGTCAGATGCCTGGGGTTCAAATCCCGGCACGGCCATTGGATATGCACTGCTTATGAGCTCTAATAAGAGCGAAACTCGAGTCCAGTGCTTCCCTTTGGTGTGGACTCACCGGAATAATTACGCCAGGACAGGAACACGACCGTTCAAAAGTGAGTGGTGTGGCTATGAACAAAAATACCTATCCCGCAAAACCCCAGAATTGTAACCGAGAGATGTTGACCAAGTGAGGAACGGCGAGAATGTCCTGTGGAAGAAAAAAATAAAACTATCATCATCTCCTAAAAATCTGTTGGGACAAACCGCTGGACGAGGATTTCAGAAGCACAACAGTGTAGAAACCTGAAAACCTGTGTTAAGAGGGTGCGTACTCTCAAATTTGGATGGATGAAGCAATCAACCAGAAGCACGAACCAAACTGCAACCAAAATAGGGCAAATTAGGTGGAACAAAACGCTAGTGATCGCGGCAAATGGAAGAATATATTATCTCATAAAAAACTATTCAGATAGATTGATTTCCGATTGATTGTGTTTGGAAGTAGCAGCAAGCAGCTAGATAGGCTGTTCGATTGTATCAGATTTCGAATTAGCTGCCTGTCCTTGTTTACATCGTACGCTAAGCCCCTCGCTGTTGCCT